TTCATTATAGGGTTTTTCCTAATAAATTCACCTACCCGTTTTGTCCTCAAGGCCTATGCTAGCTTTGCTAGTTTGAGTCAGGGAAAATCAGTTCATGGGTTTGTGTTCAAGTTTGGATTTGAGGATGATCTCCATGTTCAGAACACCATGATTCACATATATTGTTGTTGCGAGGAAGGGTTGAGTTTGCTAGGAAGGTGTTTGATGAAAATCCAAAGAAGATTCGGTGACATGGAGTGCCAAGATTAGAGGGTATGCGCCTTTAGGACGTTCTGCATCTGCCATTGGATTGTTTAGGGAAATGCAAGTTATGGGAGTTTCCCCTGATGAGATAACCATGGTTTCTGTTTCATCTGCTTATGCTAATTTGGGTGCACTTGAGCAAGGTAAGTAGTTGTAATCTTATGTTGAGAGGAAAAACATACTAAATTGTGTGGTGCTATGAAATGTGCTAATAGACATGTTCCCAAAGTCTGTGGTAGAACCTGTGGCTGTGGGATGCTTGACTTTCCTGTAATCGTTACAATAATGGAGTTGGAACACGTACTTGTCTGTTCAGAAATCAATTCCGAGAAATACCAAATGGTGGTAACTTAGTTGGCGCATATTAGCTGAGCAGGTGGGGAGGTGCATATTAGCTGAGCAGGTGAGGTGAGAGAATGTGTTTGATCCTCCCAAGTACCACTTGTGGGAGGGGTTTAAAGCCTTAATCCTGAATCCGTTCCGAATCAAACTAGTCGCGAAGCGATACACCGATTAGAAAATTTCAAAAAAAAAAAAAATCAAACTAAATAAGGAAGAAGAAAAACAAGTAATATTTATTAAGTCCCAATAATAATACATGTATAATGACGTAACATCTACAAAAAGCCCCATTAAAAAAACCAAAAGCAAATATTGTTCTTCTTGTGTTTTCTTTTTCTTTTTTCCTTAGATAATATGATATCCTGAAAAAAAAAATCTAAAATCTAAAAAAAAAAAGCATATCAAGTGAGGAAAGCTTCTAAAATCTATCAAGATATCCAACAAAGAAACCAAACTAATATAATCTCTAGACAAATAAGATCGAAGAAAATATATATTCTCAATGTGTGATTGGCAAGTTCTTTTGTAAAAAATAATTGTGAGTGCGTTAATTTTAGATTTTTAATTTAACATGTTGGGGGGGCAAGAAACTTTATTTACGAGTAATGAATGCAAACAAGATCAAGTTACATAGAATAAATCCTCCCCAAAAGTCCAGTTGCAGATTAAATTCAAAGCAGAACAGTAATCAGAAGCGGATCATTTTCATTCAAACATTCAAAGCCAAGATGGTAAATGCTATGAAATTCGTGCCTCTAAAAATGTTATTAGTTATTACTTAATAACATGCTGCTATTTTCCTGCGCAAAAATATAATCGGAAACACAAGTGAGAAGTATAAGTAAAACATGATCATTTACAGAAAGCAAAATCATTCAGTTCAGGATAAACTTCGACCATATTGATAGACTGTACTCATCCATGCAATCCGATTAGTAAATTACCCAAACACAATATTCGTTTTAGACGAACTCACGGAAGCAAGACATAAATGCAAATCAAATCATCTATTCAATCCTTCTTCTACTATTAGAAAAACATGCTGAGTTGACTAAATTCATTCAAGTTAGTGAATTAAATAAGTTATATTTTTTGTGATTATTAATATAGTCAATTTTATTATATATAGTTTCAATGCATGATTGAATGATAACAATCTAGGAAACTCGGACACGCCTTTTTTTGAAAAAAAAAATGCATGTCCGACATCGACACGTACGCTCCGACACGCGGTCAATATTTTGGGACACGTGGTCAATTCTCCGACACGTTTTTTTTAGTCTTAATTTTATTTTATTAACTAAACATAAAAAAATAATATATAAATCAATTTTTTTCTGTTATGAAATTTAACATGAAAAATTAACAAGGTACGAAAAAATATTTTTATTTATTTATGTTATAAAATTTGAATATTTGATTGGTTATATGACTTATTATGGACTATTATATGTATTAAATATAAATTATATTATATATATTAAAAGTATTATTTAATATCAAAACATGTCCCAAGGTTTCAAAATATGCCATTTTTTAGAATTAACGTGTCGGTGTGTCGTGTCCCATGTCAGTGTTCGGTGCATCATAGATAGGAATAATGTCAAAAGGGGAAAAAATTGTAACAACCAAGTTGAGTTACTACCAATCAATTTCTCCGTTAGATCGATTATGTTGATCCAACGGTTATATTTATTTCCATCTTTGTATGGTTATGATTTTCCAAATTTAATATTTTATATTTATTTTCACCTTTGTATGGTTATGATTTCCTATATTTAATGCTTTCATTTTAAATATGGGGAATCATAACCATATAAAGATGAATATAAATATAACCGTTGAATCAACATAATCGATCTAACAGTGAGATTGATTGATAGTAATATGATACTAACACAACTTGGTTGTTACAATATTATTCCCCATAATAAAAACACAAAATAACATTGTACCAAAATTAAATCCTGAAAATGTTGCATTAATTCAATCAATAAATGAGTTTGTTTTAAACGAACTCACGGAAGCAAGACATAAATGCAAATCAAATTATCTATTCAATCCTTCCTTTACTATCAGGAAAACATGCTGAGATTTGACTAAATTAATTGAAGTCAGTGAATTAAATAAGTTATGTCTTATGTGATTATTAATATAGTCAATTTTATTATATATACTTTTAATTAGGGGGGAAACAAGAAACTTTATTTACGAGTAATGAATGCAAACAAGATCAAGTTACATAGAATAAATCCTCCCCAAAAGTCCAGTTGCAGATTAAATTCAAAGCAGAACAGTAATCAGAAGCGGATCATTTTCATTCAAACATTCAAAGCCAAGATGGTAAATGCTATGAAATTCGTGCCTCTAATATTACTGAATAACATGCTGCTATTTTCCTGCGCAAAAATATAATCGGAGAAACAAGTGAGAAGTGGAAGTAAAACATGATCATTTACAGAGAGCAAAATCATTCCGTTTAGGATATACTTCGACCGAATTGACAGATTGTACTCATCCATGCAATCCGATTAGTAAATTACTCAAACACAATCTTCGTTTTAGACAAACTCAGGGAAGCAAGACATAAATGCAAATTAAATCATCTATTCAATCCTTCCTCTACTATTAGAGAGGCATGCTCAGAGTTGACTAAATTAATTCAAGTTAGTGAATTAAATAAGTTACATTTTATGCGATTATTAACATAGTCAATTCTATTATATATAGTTGACTTTAATGTAACAATTTATAGTTTCAATGCAAGATTGAATGATAACAATAAAAAAAACACAATAACATTGTACCAAAATTAAATCCTGAAAATGTTGCATTAATTCAATCAATAAATGAGTTTGGTGTATTGATTGAAAAATAAATGTTAATCAGTTAGCTAGTTTGATCATCGTTATAAATGTTAATCTTCTGTGCAACATCACATAAGACCGAAGAATCTGAAAGTTCAAGGCATTCCCTTGTTGCTATAACTATTCGCAAGCGCCAAAGCATTGCTTGTTATCTTCTTCACCTTCGTCACCCGACGGGATACATCCGTCTTCACCGGACCCTCCGATACTTCGTTGAATCCGTCCATACACGTCCCTTCGTTGGTGAGTGCCGCACTCATCCACGTCAGCACGTTGCTCATATGGAATCGGAACGAGCTGGTGCCATCCCCGGTGCCGGAGGATCCTATCTGCCGCATTTGCTCCAGTGAGTCGCGGATTTGGTTGACAACGTCGTCTAATTTCGAGAAGCAGTCATGGATTGCCTTGGCAGCGGGCGAGTTGTCGGCTTCGCGCGTGAGGTTGGAGAGGTAGGAAGCTGTGCTTTGGACCTTCAAGAGGCTAACGGTTATGGCGACGCGAACTGTAGGACAGGGTTCTGTTGGACAGCATTGGCGTGCTGAGAAAGGGAACTGTAGCAGACTTTCGGGTAGAGCGTGGTGTTACAACTCGTCCGGATGAAATCAGTGTTGCCGTCACTGCCGGTGGTTCCGCCGTTTTCTACGGCGATGGCCGCTGAGAATGCGGCTGCCAAGAAGAGGAGGGATAGTAAGAGATGAAGAGGCCGTTGGGTTGTCATTTTTTGGTTTGGTTCCGTTGTGTTACGATTTGTCTGTTTGTGCAAGCGAGAGCGGTTTATGTAGGCAACATATTTGCGTGAAATTACTATATGTGCGCTATCTTTGGCTGTAATAACGAGAATGCCATCATTTCTTTTCTGTCTAAAACTCTATTTAGCCTCCAGGACGCGTGGAGAAAACTCTCCTATGACTTGTCAATAAGCACGGTTTTAACAGTGAGTTGTAATACAGGGTGCGTATTTGCAAATATTGAAAATTTATTACATGATTTGTTACAAACAGTACTCTGTTATATAGTGCAATGAGTTCGCGGCACTCTGCGTGAAAATTGGTTTTGGATTTTCATTTTTGTTGGTTTCTGACTTTGTTCAATACTTTACGTTTTTCGGCGGGAAAAATTATATTATATTAGGGATTTGATTTTCTCGCGTTGCAATGAGAATTCAATTCTCATGTTGTGACTCAACTAGTGGTAGACCCCATATTTATTAAAAAAGAAAAAGAAAAAGAAAAGAAAAATTTTGCACGCAAATCAAAGGGTCACTAACATAAGAGTTAAAAAGTTTTCCCATTATATTATATAAGAAAGGTTATACGATTTATTTTTGTTTATAATTTTTTATAATCATATCTTAAATATTAATTTTTATTAATTAATAATAATTATTTTTATTAATTAATTATTAATTTACAATAAATGATAATTATTAATTAATAAAAATATAATTATAAAAAATTATAAAGAAAAAATAAGTTGAAAGTATAATATTATATTATCCAAAGGCCAAAGCTCACAAAGGGATATTTCCCGATTTCCCTCGCTCACTCACTTTCTACTCTCAGCTGCTACCTTTGAAATGTCCATTACTCCAAAATTTCTCACAACCTTTATTTTTATTATCTAATTATTCTTTCTTTTCAGATTTTGATTTTGATTTTGCTTACGAGTTTATAACGTTCATGGAATTTTGCGCAAGGTTTTTACTTTTTAGGTCATAACTCTTCCAAAATTCCGCGCTTCGTTTTGAGATCGGTCAGTTCCTTCTTCACATTTTCAGTTTTATGCTTTTTTTCCTCTTTAATTTACTTATTTTTACTGAATATGTTGCATGGGTTGTTTGTGTTGTTCGTAGATACGGATGAATTTATTTTAACTGTAGGGATGGTTAGTTAGGAAGCGCTTGGGACCTTCAGTGTTTTTGTTTTTTAAACCTCGTGTTTGCTTCGTAATCTCTCCATTTTCCTTCAGTCGTTCTGATAGTTCGGGAAATGATTGATTTTCTTATATGCGTCTTGTGCTGTGATAATGCCATATGTGTGTGTTTGATTTTAGTTTAAGTGATTAAACAGGTTTTGGGAAATTTACGGAGTCTTTGAGAAAGTTTATTTTGTGTGCTGAAGGGGAAAAGGGGAGAGGAAGCTTTCGTTTTTGTTGTGAAGCCAAAAATAGCGTCGTAGGGTCAGTGTTTAGCACCATTCTGTAACGTAACTTGCTTGGATTTATTCACACATTAGCTTCAGCAATTCTTGCTGAAATATGGCGGTTATGTCCCCTCTCCCTATTAGTCATCTTTGAAGCAACTTAAGTCTTAGGTGTATATCCTTCTTGTTCTTTTTCCACTCCTTGCTAATGATTTATATTATTCTCTAATACACCCCCTCACGCAAGAGCCCTTTGGGCTAGAAGCGTGGATATTGCACATGCCCAATTTTTGGTTTACCTTTTGTGCTTTTTATTTTAATTCCACCTTAAAGTGGAGGGCGGTGAGGATCGATCTTGTGACCTTGTAGTCACTCAAGCTCTGATACCATAACCAATTCAACCCAAAACCTTAAGATGTTGAGTGAGTGCCTTTTTAATGATTTATATTATTCTCTAACAGTATGTTGTATCCATTTTATCTCATTATGTTTTGTATATGAGTGGTGTCATTTATAGTTATTAGTTTTAATCTAGTATCTTTTTGGGTTTCAGTTTCTGCTGCACTTCCAAAAGAATTGGTTGTGCAGCCCTTGTTTCCGGACGCCAGCTTTAAGTGTCTGTCGGCTTTTGAGTTCCATTATGGCAGGTGATTCTTTTCTAATCTCCAATGGAGACAGCATTGGCATTGTCAAGCCACTACCTATTCCGCAGAGGACTTACCAAGTAGTGGTGGCTGCCACCCAAAATATGGGCATCGGTAAGGATGGAAAATTGCCCTGGAGATTACCTACTGATCTCAAATTTTTTAAGGAGATCACTGCGAAAACATCTGACCCTGAGAAGAAGAATGCTATTGTAATGGGAAGAAAAACATGGGAGAGTATCCCTCTTGATTACAGGCCTCTTTCTGGTCGCCTTAATGTTGTTCTGACTCGCTCAGGTAGCTTTGATATTGCAACGGCAGAGAATGTTGTTATATGTGGAAGTATGTCTTCTGCATTGGAACTTTTAGCTGCTTCTCCTTACTGTCTGTCAATTGAGAAAGTATTCGTCATAGGAGGTGGTCAAATATTTAGGTATATCCTTTTTTTTTTCCCTTCTACTCCTTCCCTTTCATATTGAGCTCTTTCTCTGTTATGGCTGATAATTTCCATGTACAGAGAGGCTCTCAACGCACCTGGATGTGAAGCTATCCACATCACAGAAATTCAAGCAAGCATCGAGTGTGACACTTTTATGCCTCCAGTTGATTCTACTATATTTCGGCCATGGTACTCATCCTTCCCTAAGATGGAAAACAACATCAGCTATTCTTTCACCACTTATGTGCGTGTAAGGAGTTCTGCAGCAGAGTGCCTAAGTCAAAATGCTTATCCTCCTTTGGATAATAATTCAGATTACATTAAATTTGAGATTGAGAAATTTTCTTTTCTTCCTAATATGATTTTTGAGAGACATGAGGAGTACATGTATCTTAGGCTGGTTCAAGAAATCATTTCTGAAGGTACAACTAAGGATGATAGGACGGGGACCGGTACCTTGTCAAAATTCGGTTGCCAGGTAATATTTTTATTGGTATATTGAGGGTGGTTGTGTTTTATATGCTGACTTCATCACTATATTTCCACAGATGAGGTTCAATCTGCGCAAAAGCTTTCCTCTTCTAACAACTAAGGCATGTAGTGGAGTTTACTGTTTAAGATATGTGTTTAATCTATTGTGCAAAATGACTTGTCATTCATGTGATTTTGTTTCTTTTTCCTGTTGTTTTGATTTAATTATTTTTGGTGTTTCCTACTTTGGATGTTTATTGGGGAAGAGGAATATCTATTTTAACATTTGATAGAGAAGTTGACTTGATTTCTTCATTTGATTCCCAGAAAGTATTTTGGCGAGGGGTTGTTGAAGAGCTTCTTTGGTTTATTAGTGGCTCAACAAATGCCAAGGTAATGATATCTTTTGCTAATTTTTTCCACACGCATACAAATCCTCACGTTTCTTAGTTAGGTCACAAACAAGCTGAATTTAGCCAAATATTGTGGAACTTGAGGTTGGTGTACTTTATATTATTTAAGTTTAGGTCTAAATAGAGGTAGACTTATGGAAAGCTAGGAGCTTCCAATCCAACTCACTTTCCCAGTATTATTTGTTTTTTAAATTTTATTGAACTTGTAAATTTGAAATTATTGATCAAATGTGTATAATATGATTGGATTCTTGTTAATCCATACATAACTGAATGAATTTATCTTTTATGCTAAATGCTTTGAGACAGAATGTCATGATATGTAGAAAAATTGGGAAACGTTTCACTTGCTCAAGGAGAGTTTGTTGAATGTTTGCTTGGTTCTTTGGTGAATAGTTAAAAGCCAGGCATAAGAAGCTTCAAACTCATAAGCTGTTGACTCATATCTGTCACTGTTTTGATGAAACATTAGATCTTGATGGTCGCTAAGGAAGTTCATGGAATTTTGTTTATATTGGAGATTGAAAAAATTAATCTATTTGTGATGCTATAGAATATAAGATAGTTTGATGATAGCTCAATTTCCACTTGCTTGTCCACTTTTTCTTTGTTGATGTCAAAAGTATAAATGGTTCTGGACTAAAACTTCAATCACAATACTTAACTTGCATGAGGTGTTTTGTTTTTTGGTTCTCAAAGAATCTTTTGTCGGTAGAGCAGATATGATTATTTTGAACTTCATACTTAAAACATGTTATACTGACAGGTTCTCCAGGAAAAAGGCATCCATATATGGGATGGCAATGCATCCAGAGAATACCTCAATAGGCAAGCATGACTATCAATTGTTTTAAGTACAAATTGTATACTTTTCTTCTTGCAATTACTAGCTGGCTTTACCTTTTTTATTACAGTATTGGTTTCACAGAGCGGGAGGAAGGTGACTTGGGACCTGTTTATGGGTTTCAGTGGAGGCACTTTGGTGCCAGGTAGGTGGATTATACTTTTTTTCTGAGTAGGTCAATAGATTTATGTGTAATAGCCCAGTTCTTTATTCCCTGTCTTGCATTTTATAGGTATACTGACATGCATACTGACTACTCCGGCCAAGGATTTGATCAGCTTTTAGATGTTATTAACAAGTTAAAGCATAATCCTGATGATCGACGGATCATTCTCTCTGCATGGAATCCACCTGATCTTAAATTGATGGCTCTTCCACCCTGCCACATGTTTGCACAGGTCTGCAGCCATATTTGAGTTTCTCATTTAAAAAAGTCTCTCTCTTTTTCTCCATTTTAAAGATTTTTTTTTTAATTTTTAATTTTATCTTTTGCAGTTCTATGTAGCAAATGGGGAGTTATCATGTCAAATGTATCAGCGATCTGCTGACATGGGCCTGGGCGTGCCATTTAATATTGCATCTTATGCCCTTTTGACATGCATGATTGCTCATGTTTGTGGTATGCAAATTATGAAAGCATTTGCTATAGACTTAAAAATATGTAGTTGTATGTACATATCTTCTTAAATCTTGAGTTTTTTTTGGTGGAATAAGAGATGATATATGCCATTTCATTTGGTTGTAAATGGTTTTAAGCAAATTAATAGGTGGTGGTTCTCTAATATTTAATATTATGTTGCGGTTACTTTTGTGTGCAGGGGCCAGGGGGTAATAATCAGACTTGTGCATGTGCTGAGCTCAGCCCAAGCCTGATTTAGTTTTGTTGGTTAAACTGAGATTGACCCCAGAAAAGTTTATCTCTTTAAATCTTTTTTTTTTTGGGATATCAGTCTTGCGAGGAGGTTGATTCAGTTCTATATATTCTTTTTTAGTAACTGAAAAACTTATGCGTACAAGAGACCAAAGCCTTTATCTTTCTGTTGATTTTTCTTGGTAGTATTCTTTCGTATAATGCACTCTTCATCATTTTTTATAGCTTTTTTTTTTTTTTTGGGTAAAGTTGTTTTCAGAAGTTTATCAAAAAGTTTTTGTTTTACCATTGTAGGTTGGTGTAGGTGGGTTCAGGGTTCAGAAGTTTATTGGTTTTGATAGTATCATTATAGAAGAATACAGCTTAAAAAAGTAATTTAAAAATAGACTTACCAATCGTTATATTCTGTTTTTTTCTTGTCAGAACTTATTCCAGGTGATTTTATCCATGTTATTGGGGATGCACATGTTTACCGCAATCATCTGATGCCTTTGCAGGAGCAGCTACATAACCTACCAAAACCTTTTCCAGTATGTGTAATGTTCAAGGAAATTATTTGCTTTAATGTAGTTTGCTATAAAACTTTTACCATTTAGCACCCTTTACAATTTGTTTCCTTGTTGACTACCTTAATTTCAATGCAGTCTTTGAAGATAAATCCAAAGAAGAAAGATATAGATTCTTTTGTGGCTGCTGATTTCAAGCTCATAGGCTATGATCCTCACCAGAAGATTGAGATGAAGATGGCTGTTTAACATCTAGTAGATTCTCAGTCCCGTCTTCAGGTTGTGTCTGCTTTTTAAAATGAGGCAAGTATCCAATTTAATCTTATATATTGAACTCCGCTGGATATTATTTTATCATTATTATTTATGTAAAGGAGATATATAGAATGTGTTTTGGTGCTTTATTATGGTCCATAAGCCGTAGAACCATGGTGAGCTTGTATGCTGAAGTGTTGTGCTAGATCGCTTCTAATTTGTTATCATCTTGTCACCTTAAGGGCTGTATGGCGAACTAAATGACAGGTTCAGAAATTTTTAGGTTTCATAACTAGTTTCATAAATCTATATAAATTTGAAATTGATTTAAAATAATAATTATTTTGTTTGAAATTTGGTCTTGAACTGGTTTAGCATTAAATGTTATTTAGTAAAACTTGTGTCTTTAAAATTCAAATAAAGTTGGAAGAGAAAAAGGAAGCAATTGATTTAAATAAGGGAAAAGTGTTTGTCCTTTTAATTATGGGGTAGTTTCTAAACTTTGTTTTGGATTTCTTTTGAAACAAGTTTTGACTTAAAAACTGATTTGGTAAGATTCAAAATTTGCACAGCTACCAAACATAAAAAATTCGACACCAATTTCATCACACCTAATTATTTTGTTGTGAGTTTTACGAACGTGCCCATAAAATGTTATTAATGATTCTGCTTCAGAGAATTTTATGAGAATGCTTAGGTTTTTTCTTCTGGTGAGTTTTTTTAATTGATACCAAGTCACTTGATTTGCATATTTTCTTTTTCAGTGTTTCATATGCTGTTATTCGATGCGGAAGCCTTGTATTTCATTGTTTCAGGCACAATCATTGGAGGATTATGTTAGATCTGTGTACAAATTACGAACAACTCGTTGAACAGACTTCAATAGTCATATATATTGCTAGTGGAAATCTTTTAGGTCCACATGTTATGACTGTAAGGTGATTTAGGTTAGGTGCATTTTCTTTTCTTCGGATTTATTCGCTCATAGATACTTTTGAGGGATCAGAAACTTTAAGTTAAAGATCGGCTGTCTCTTTGAGGTGGCTGTTTTTTTATCTTTGTTCCTCTTCGTGTTTGCTTACATTTTGATGAGGTTGTTTATACTTGTTTGGTTGTGTCCTCGAATATGCTTGCCAATTCGTTTTTTGGATTTGGGAGGTTACCGAGTGAAAATAATTAACGAGTACAAAGCCGGTGGGAGAAGCCATTAACCAACAAAAACAATGAAACCACGTTACCTAAGTAGTTTTGGTGTGAGCCCTCACAACCCATCTATGAATTTGAGGAATCCCTATAAAGTCACCTCTAATGTTTGGTAGGAGGTGAAAAAAAATTTCCTAGGAAAATGGGATGGAGAAAATTATATGTTTATGTTTGATAGGAGGTGAAGTAAAAATTTGGCCTGAAAAATTTCTTTCCATCATTTGCTTTTGTATGTAAAATGGTTGGAAAAGATTACTGTTGAAGGGATGAAGTTGATTTTTTTTTCATGTGTTTGGGAAAATTAACACATAACATCAGTAAAATTAAATTAATATTTTTGGAAAAATTGTGGCCTAAGAAACACTTTTTAGTAACTTGTGTTTGAAATTTTTTTTTTTCTGATAATTTTTTTTTCCCTCTACTAAAGCCCCCCCCCCAAAAGACAATGGGACGTGAATTCCAACAACACATTGTATAGACATGCAGATCTAACTTGACCAAGAATATCACAGGGCAATCTCGCTGTTCATATTACTGCAGACTTTGATTGAAGACGCGAAATTGGACTCCGTTAAAATGTCAAGATATTGTCCTTCAGCAGAGAAAGTTAAACAATAGTGTACCAAAAAAATAAAATAAAAAGTTAAACAATTGAGGCACAGGGGTCTTTCACTCTTCAAAAGCTAGAAGACTATCAATTCAGGTTGTGGGGATGGTAACGATGATTTTTATTTTTATTTTTTTTGGTACATTGGTAATGATGACTTTGTTTCAAATACATTTATCAAATCCAATATCATAGCCAAATAAGTGAGAGCTACTACTGAAACTTAAATGAAAGCACAGTTTGGAGAAGGAATAATTAATGAATCATTCCTCACATTTAGAAAGAAGGTTGTGAAACTGTTGGAAGAAGAGAAACTGGAACATACTATTCTCATGTTCATGATAGAAAAAATAATAGAAATTTAACAATTTTTATGTAAAGTACTTTCTTTCCTAAAAAATAGTGAAAAATATATAATATTATATAAATTCAATAACAAAATAATAACTTATCAAATTAATAATGACTTTCAAATTAGTTTTTGAATTTGAATCATAAATCAGATTGGATTGGATTGTCCTTTCAATTCAAATTTGAAATCACAAATCCTAGGTTGAATTTCGAATCACAAATTGGGATATAACATAAATTGCATGATTGTGGAATTTATGGTCTGATACATGACCAATTTTGATACAGGTTGTCGATTTGTATTGTTCGACTTCCGTGTTGTATCGTAAAAGAGAAAGAGAGAGAGAAAATTGACACGATGATTTATTCTGGTTCACCAAACGTAGACTACGTTTAGCTTGTATCTGTACTACATTCATCTCACTATCACTCGGTTTAGAAGAGAATATAAATAGGATTTAAAAAACTCTAACAGCACAACTATTCATGGCTCAAGGGCAAACTATTAAGAAAAATAAAATTAAAATAAATCGGAGGTCCCCAGCAACTATTCATGGGCTTAGTTGCCTTTCCGCTGACCTCGCTAATAAGATCCTTTATCAGTATGCGAAGTATGAGTCGTATCCAATATATAAGATGCCAAAGTCTAAACAAGTTATGTGAACACGTAAAATAGCTTACCTCACGTGCAAAGCCTAGCTTATGACATATTAATATACCATGATTACCATCATCCATGAAATGTCATGTGCTTGGTAACGGATTAAAAAAACATGCGAGATGCTGTAACTCCGGGGCTATTCTTACCTTTTCTCGTTCTCAATTGTTTTCTTAATTAGCTAATAGCTATCATAATTAGTGGTGAAATGAAGGAGCAGTTAGGAGGCGATCTCCTCCTTCAAATTTGTGAGTTTAAGCATTGTTTTTGAATTTTTGATCATATAATTAGTGATCGCTCCTCTCAAAATTAATAAAAACCTTTAGTTGTGACTAAAATATTTATATTTTTGTCATATAAATAATTATAATTTCAAAAAGAATATATGTTATAATTTCGTCCCCACACAAAATTTCCTGATTTTGCCTTTAATTATAATACTTAATTAAGATTTTGCACTTAAAATATTTAGGAAGTCTTAAGTTTTCAGTGATAATATATTTTACTAATGATACATATAGGGGTATTTTTTTATTTATTTTTTGGATTATTAAGGGTATTCTTAAAAAACTATGAACTTTTTATAGCATGGTATAAATTTTCGTAAATAGTATTCAACATTAATTTGTAAATCTGGCTATTACTATGATTACACAATTATAAAAATAAAAATATCCTATATGTTTGAAATGAACTACCGATGCACTATTCTTTGGAATGTATGTCCCGAGATTAGCAGTGATAGCTAAACGAATCAGATATTTTTTAAGGGTATTTGACCCGACTCGTGAAGGCTTAGATTTACTTGTCTAAAATTGGTTGTTAGAACTAGGCTTGAACTTATATGGAAGCTCGTTTAATAAAAAGGCCTCAAGTTCCAATTGAAAAGTTCGGCCTTAGAGCCTCTGATACTGGCTTAGTATACTAACTTTTATTTTTATTTTATATTTTTTATGCTACTGATAATAGCGCTCTCTCTCTCCAACCTATTTCATCCCATTTTATTAGTTAAACAAACTTTATGAATGCTTTTGTTCAATATTATGTTATTTTGATATATATTGAATTTATGAATATCAGTGGAATTATTAGTGTTGTTGATTCTATATTCTGTTTGGATAAATTTTTATTGTCTTATCTTTTTTTATCAAGCTAATAAGTTAAATCAGTCTTTTATTTTTTTGCAAATAAATCAAGTCACATGCCGATAATTATATTCATAACAAGTAACATATTAGGTCAGATGTTGCGAATAATCGACAAGTGCACCGATCGTTCCAAGTAATAATAGGGAAAGTAGAGTATCGTCTCCACGAGGATTTATAACTATTCCTCTCTTGTTGGATTAATAAAAATGATTTAAGAACAATTATGGTTTGTGAAATATGAGAACAATTCAAGAAAATGTAAATGATTCAAAAGTTCTTAAAGAAATTCAAGAACGAAATAAAGGTTGAGTAATATTTGAGAGAATATTGCGGTAAAGAGAAACAAACACCTCCCACCTTGCAACTTGGATTACATTTACGTTTACTTATTCAATTGATCAAACGATTCATCGTCTTTTATATGATTAGTTAAGCCCTAATTCCTTAGTGACGTTAACCTTATTAACTCTATTAGAATTCTAATCCCTTAGAAATCCTTTTTCAAGTTAAACATTAGAATCAATGAATCTTTAACGTTTGCGGTTCATGTAGCCTATCCCTAGTGCATGCATGAACCGTTATCTTATCATTTGTCAGGAATTAGAATTTCAATATCCCTATTGCAAACCCTAACCCTCGCAATCCTAATAGATTGATCAGTTCCAAAAGAATTATAACATGAAGAACAAGGAAAGATAAATTCAATTAAAATAGATAAACGTAAAATTCAACCAAACTATAAGGGGCTCACATCAAGGGTTGTGACCCTTACCACAATGATGAAACTAGCCAGACATATTCATGTCTGACAAAATAATCATAAAAGAAAATAACATTCAGAACCTAAAAGAGAAAAGGAAGATGAAGATCTTCCGTCTTGATCGTTCGAATCTTTGAAACTCCAAGAAGCTCCCAAGAATTCTCCCTCTCTTTGTTGTTTTCTCTTCCTTATTGTCCAAAAGTTCCTCCTCCATGTGTTTCTGACCCTTTTATTAGGTTTTAGGAAAACCTAATCTCACTTGCCCTCCAATTGGGCCCTTTTTAGTGTAATTCGCATTAATTTGGAATAAAATTTATATCGCCCACGCACCGTGCGCCAAGTCTGGCGCACCGTGCATGAGAAAACAGAGCTGAAGCTGTCAATGGCGCACCGTGCGCCAGGCCCCGCGCACCGTGTGCCACCTCCCGCGCACCGTGCGCCAGGATACATGGACGAATTGCATAAAATGGCGCACCGTGCGCCAGGTTCCGAGCACCGTGCGCCAGCTGGAAAATCTTACTTCTCTCTTTTGCTTCCTTTTATGGAGTTTTCTGCTATTAAAACACATAAATTGAGTGAGAGAATGATTGAGAAGGAATAATCAATATTTCTTGTATTTATGACTTATTTTCACACATTTATGATTAATTCCTTACTTCTTTTAAGTTAGAAAGCATCATATGCTAGACGCACATCAAACAATTCCCAGATTTAGATGTTGTTATCCTCAGCAATAAACAGAATTAAAACATGGGAAGCAAGGTTCAATTAATCAAGCTTAGCATTGCACAGACAATCATAAAGATTACTATGCTAAGCATGAATGATTTCCAAGTCAAAACTGAAAACGATGCTTATCAACTTCATTCAAATATCAGAGTCTAACTTGATTACCCCTCACAAAGACATAATATTCACTCATCACTCAGTGTTTGGGGGTATTCATCATCACTCATTTCATCACAGCTGTTGCACTACCATAAGCTTGATCTTAGTCTCAAGTTCCTGAAGATGAGGAACGCCAACACATGCATGATTGATCAAAAGGGCTTCTTAAGGTTATAACTTGGTTTGGCTTAAGGTTAGGATCATTTGGAAAGTGGCTGAATAATCATTGAGATTGAAACACCATTTTCATTAAGACTCAATCATATCTCAATTTAGGTTTCAACTCCACTATTTACTTGAATTTATGATTCATCCTTTTTGTTCACCTTTTTCTTCATCATTGTTTTTCAAATTTTCAATTTATTTTTTTCTTTCCTCTTTGAATTCATTTGAGGACTAGTTTTCTT